GGCTGGCTACGTAGGCGTATTCTACACTTTTAGTCCTTTTATTATTTTTCCTCTGTATTTACTTTTAACAAAAATATTATGATAAGTTTTTGCTTACTACATGATTCTGCGGGTTGCTTTTCCTCTGCATTTGCTAAAAACAGAAAAAAAGTCAAAAATCTATTAATAAATGCATTTGTTAACGGTGTACCAGCTGTCAGCCAATCCTGCATTGTGATTGGATCCTGTCGACCATTGRCTATTAATAATTTGTATTAACMTTGTAATATAGACCCCTTGCATGTGACGTCAAAGCAGCTTCATCTTGAGGACAAAACAAAAGATTTTTATCCTCTTGAGAACTAGAATCCATTGTTTTGTCCTCCAGTTGGAGCTGCATTCCCATGAACTGCAAGGGGTCTATAAATGACACAGTGCCAAAAATAGGAGCTATTGCATGCAGTCATCTTTCGAAGTTCACACTTATGTCCATTTAAAATTCATTCAATTTAGTTTTTTTTTTTTAACACCTCATGCATGGACTAGAAACAACAGTCTAATTGGTTAAAGTGGTTGTCTTTAACCCGTGAAATACACTTTAGCGGACTAAACTTAATTACTTAATTACTGTACGTTTTTTATCTTCAGAATATCACACATTTTTGCACCTTGAATATTATATTTGTTTCACGGGACATTGTTAACCAGTCCTAAAAATGGAAATCATCGTATTGGCGTTGCCTAGCAGACWTTATTGAGAGCTTGAACAGATTAATGAGAAAGATTTACCTTTGTTWCTTATTATTATTGCTATACTTTAGAGGTTGGGGGTTCAATGCTGGTTGATATGGGGTTTCTAACCTGGCTTCTCGATGTACACTGACTKTAAGTCGAACACGGTCATGTTCGGTTGCTTCGYTGTAGTGATGTTGTTTAGCTCGCATAAGATCGTCTTCTGATACCAATTGATGCTTTTGCAGTCCCTAACTGATATGCATTTCTCGTAGCAGTCGAGGATGTTGTCGACGCGATGGGACTCTAGCACAAAGTTCTTTACAGCAATRCCCGATACCGATTTATAACATTTTTGTGCTGCKGTTAGASATACATGATAGATCATCAGGGTGATGAAGACTTTTACCAGTGTCAACATGATCTTTCGCTGGTGCGTTGGTGTGAAAACCCTTCATTAGTAAAWAGAAAATACAAATATAAGATATTTCTGATCTTTTTGTTTCGCACTAATTATTAAATCCTGAACCATTTCTGGATTTCTTGATTTTGGCATGCGGATATTGATTGGTGTTTTCCCCTTCTCTATAAGTAATAAAAAATCTTCATTTAATTTGGAAAAAAATTCATTATATAACAAGCTACCAAAAAGGAAATTTTTTGCGGTTGCCAATAATAATAATAATAATAATTCTTATATTGCCCATTACAACAAGTCTCAATGGATTTTACAAAAGTTATTGCACTAAAAAACAAAATAAAAAAGAAAATATATATATAAATTAAAAAGAAATAATAAAAATAATACATATATATCCTTGTTAAATAAAAATGTCTTAAGATCCTTAAAAATGTCTACTGAGCTCGCTTGTTTAATTGCATTTTTAAGGTATTTCCAGAGTTTGGGTGCACAAAACGATTAAAGCGCGTTCACCAAAGTTTTTTTTTTAACTTGTTAAAAAACTTAAAAGAAATGTTCTTGAAATGGGTTTACACCCCTATGAAGTTTTATGGTTGAATTCAGAAAAGTAAGATAAGTTATTTTTAAAGATTGGCAAAAGTTTCACCCACTGAAAATTGAGTTGAAACAYTGCTTGTTACCAGATATTTGATTGAAAACCTTGGTGTGAAGTTGTTACTRAAATCCCTGTACCACACTGCAAAGTGCACCTCTTGTCTTTAGTAAAGTAAGCTTTCTTACCTGAGAAAATATCAGCTTGACATGAACCGCCGATCTATCTAGAAGACAGACTTTCCATTGTGTTTAGCTAGGTTAAGACGCAGGTGAGCGGTTTTTTGTTTGTTTCAGTGTTTTCAATTGATGTAATTTAGGGCGCAGTTGGCCGTCTTCTGATGAACAGGTCTTCATTATCCCTTGGTACCCTTAATTATGCCAAATTCGATCTGCCAAGGGCAAAAATGTATTGTTCAATCACAAACCACCCAGGCTCAGCACTTGTATGATGATTGCTTTTACGGCGGAGTCAGTGTATTGACTTGGTGCGCGGTTTTTATTAACGTGAAAATGGCTTTAAAAATCAATTACAATTCATAAAAAACACGTATACTTATTAAAAAAAGAAGAAAAAAAGAGAAAGTCTTGAAAAGTCTTAAAAAATGAAGGAGAAAAAATCGTCTTCTTCGTTCGTTTAGGTATACTACGTATACTTATTAAAGAAAGAAGAAAAAAAGAGAAAGTCTTGAAAAGTCTTAAAAAATAAAGGAGAAAAAATTTTAATTCTTTTTCGTTCGTTTAGGGTCTAGAATATCAGGTTTGGTTTTTTGGAGAAATGACATAGAGGATATTACATGGGCGCACGGATTTATCTTCGAGTGTTGAAATGAACTCTCACGGGTGAGCGTAGAAAACGAGTGAGAGATTTTCAACACGAGAAGATAAAATTCGGTAATATGTAATATTATGTAATATTCTGTTTATCATATAATTACATATGAAAGCAAATTATGTCGCAAGATAGCTTTTTTCTTACTTCCACTATATAGAGAAACCTCGAATGTGTTATTTTCACTAGTGAAAATATCAGTTTTACGAAGGAGAAAATATAGGTATTTCATAGATAATTATATGATAATGGTATTTATGCACGTCTATTATGGACTTTCGAGAATGTTCCATGTTCAGAAACTGAATATATATATCGACACAACCTTTTCAAAATCGACTGTAGTTTTGGAACCAAGTCGTATTTGCTATATTTGAAATTTTGGCTTACCGGTAAACGATTAAAATGAAGTAAATATAATCAATTCAAGAGAAATGAATATGGAAAACAATTCCAGAATTCACGTAAAAACAAAACAAAAGCACATTGTATTTACTTAAAAAAAACTTTACTTTGATATCATTGAAGTTGGCGTTCTAATGAATATATCATTGGCCGGGCAATTTTCATTTTACATGTTTTTCACCCATTATCACCTAAAAAGCGTTACGTGAAATTGCTCTAAATGGTTAATAATTAATTTTGATTAATTATTAAAATAATTTCATGGTTTTAATGTGTGCGCATTATGCTCTCTAATTGCTTTGTTTTCTTTTGTGTCTGTCAGTCCCCACTTTGTATCGATTTTTGCTTAAAAGATCGGTTAACACTGTAGTTGCTGAAATCTTTGTGATGCTACAGAATAATGCTTTTTAAGAATTAACTTGTAAACTTTTATTCAGTACACTGAGATAAGCGAACTAAATGTCTCCTCAGAAAGATAAGACAAAATCTGTTATATTTGAAAATTAACGAAATAATCCAATGTGTGAGCCGGTCGTAATGGACTGATTTTGTTTCGCATGTTATGACTAAATAATAGAAAACCTCATAAAAGTAACATAATTATATTACCACAGGTAATCGAAAGTAATTTTGGTTTAAAAAATGTTCTTTTAATATTTTTTTAATTTATTTTGTTATTTTGTCACTGCTTTACTAGTTATTTATGCGTATGCCACTAAGTAAACTGATTTCGGTCACTAACACTAACACGGTAAATAACATTTTTATTTTATTTATTTTTCTGTTTTATTTTTTATTTTTTGCAACTTTTCTTGAAACCTAGCAACAGGATACCTCGGACCGGGCAGATCGTGAAATACCGGACCGTGCGCTAGCCAATCACAGCGCACGAATGACTAGGATACCGGACCGAAAAAAATAACGGTTTTCCGACTGAATCAAAAACCCACGAGGTATGCGAGGTATATTTAGTGCTTTGTTAAGGGAGTGGACTTTCCGTTGTTAGTCACATGACTTCATTTTAAGCAGTTATGTCGTCATTTTTATTGTCAATTAACCCGGAAATAAAAAAGGTTTAGGGCGAGTAAATTGCAGTCGGATTGAAAAGCGTGATTTTTCTCTGAAGCTTGCTGTGTGGACAACCGCTGATCGATAAACGTGATAAGTCTTGATGGATTTTTTGGTCTGCCTAGGAGTTTCTATGTGTTGTTTATAGAACGAGAGTGCGTGTTTTATCGGGATATATAAAATCCTAAAACATACATAACAATCATTATAAAGTTTTGATTATCAAAAAGTCATAAGATTTTGAATGACGTCTAAAAATACTAATTCATATAGGTTTCTGCTTGATTGCCAAACTCGTATTTGTTTTATAGAGGCATTGATTAGATAAAAAAATCAATTTAATTTCAAAGATAACACACGTATGTGTAAAGCACCGCTTAGAACAGAATATGTCAGGAAAGTTTATTCAAACAGGGATTAAGGGCGTATGGAGACGTCATTTCCTTGGATAGGAACGGCTTTGCTTGCTTAACAAAAGAAATAGACCAAAGAAAGATTTTTCAATTGATAAGAAAATCAAATATAACACGAAATATATCTTCRACTCATATCCTCTTCAAGAGATTACTAGCGAAACTAGTGAACGACAAACTTAGAGGACTTTCATTTTGGTGACGAGGAACCTGACATAGAAKCTTGCCAAGAACGAAAATAATTATTACATCTCGTATCATCCGAAAGGGATTACAAGTAACAATATTGAGCAAGAAGAGTAAAGAACTTTTATTTGTGGTTGAAGGTCATTGTAAAAGACGACGCTGAACAATAGTAGCTTGCCATGGGCCAAAGTAATTTCTCAGGAGGATACCGCTTTAATGAGCTTCAAAGCCGTAGCCAGCGAACTGTAGCCATCGAATCAGGCTTCGTTCTGGTCATTAACCTYGTGGCTTTMGTTGGCAACTCGGTTATTTGTGTGGTGATGTTCAGGAACCCTCGTCTTCATTCGGTCCCTAATTTCTACATTCTTTCCCTGGCAATAGCTGACATCTTCATGGCTCTGATAGTTATGCCATTTTCATTTGGAGTTCTAGTGACATCTTACTGGCCTTTTGGCGCTGTCATTTGTACTATACAAGGCGCCGTAGTGTTGATCTTGGCTTTCGTGTCGTCGTCCACTGTGGCCCTAATGGCGGTGAACAGATATTTCAGAATAGTTCGGTCATCGTCGTATCGCAAATTATTCACGGTCAACAAGGCTACATTCATGATCCTAGCCGTGTGGGGTTTAGTTATTTTATTAGTTCTTCTCCCTGTTGTCTTTGGATGGGCGACGATTGAATTCTACCCTAAAAGAGCCAATTGCTTGGTAAAACCTGCATCACAGAATTCCAATCAGATTTTCACGGCTTTGCACCTTACCTTATTCGTTGCTATACCAATGGTCGTCATCATCGTTTGTTATTTAAGGATTTTTATTAAAGTTCGACGACATTCGGCCTCTGTCCACCCTTCATTGCGCTCATGTGGACATCAAGGTGTGGCTGAGATGACCGTAGAAGAAATCGGCATTACTCGACTKATTCTGTCCATTGTCCTTGGTTTCGTCATCTGTTGGATTCCTGTTCTCGTAATTGAATTCGTTAATACATCGATGACATCTCCAGGAACTCTACCACGATGGGTTTATATGTTATATAAGTATCTTTGGTACACCAGTGCAGCCATAAATCCTCTACTATATGGTGCTTTCAACAGATCATTCCGCAAAGCGGCGAGGCAAACAGTTACTAGAAGCGCAATAAAGASAACAGGATCTCTTGAACACGCATTTTGAAATACACTATCCTTCAAGACCTGTGAGCGTCGCTTTGGTGGAAGTCTAAATAATAGGCGTATATCGAAAACAATCTTAACTTTATTGTCAATATATTAATATCTTATTAACCGAGCGCGAGRGCCGTACGGGAAGTTATGGACCTAGTTTTTTTCCACTGACTTATGGCCAGAGCGCGTAGCAAGCGAGGTTAATAAGATATTAATTATATAGCATTTTCAGGGAAAAATAGTAAAATAGTAATAATATAGAAAATAATATAAAATAGTAAAAATACGTTTTTGTTCGTACTTTTCTTGTCATTCAAAATAGAAGGAAAAAAGAAAAGCCTGAGAAACCTTGATGGCAAAATTTGGATTCATTTTGAGTCTTTTTTATACAGTACAACTACAAAAAGAGAGAAAGCGAGCCTTTTTAAGATAAAAAACGTTTTTTCTCGTTTCATCTGGTCCGTACGGGAAAGTATCGCCCGCTTTTTAGCCAATGAAATCGTGTGTTACATCCGAGCTATATAATAAATGTATATATATACAGTCAATCCCATCAGTCAACAAAAGTTAAAAAACTCATACATAATTAATGAGCTACTAGGCCAATAGAATGAAMCTATTTGGTCACATGCATGGACCTTTATATCTGATAAAACACTCCTTATTAGTATTCTTTATATAAAGAATACTAATAAGGGTGACATTTATCAGATATAAAGGTCCATGACCCTAGCAAAGGTCTCAGGTTTGAAACCTGATCATTGACCAATGCAGGATGTCAACCGATTTCAGTGAACAGCCAAGAGCGGTTCTATTTTATTTTATGCGTATTCAATGTGGGATGACAAGAGTGCTTAATTGTAAAGTGATTCGCGCATGATCAGTTTGCCCCATTTATCTCTGAACATATTTGTACGGCAATTTCTCCAAGAATTTTAACGGATTTGAGTTTCAAATTAGTGTTGGAGTTTTTTAAGCCGTTTAAAACACTCGAGATCGTGTTTTAAACTATACAAAGTATACATGCGTACATATTTTATTTGGAGCTTTGCACACAAAGATACATAAACTTAATTCCAAAACAAGATAAGAAACTAATAGATAAATATGACATGATAAATATGTTAAAGCCCAGGCCTGTAGGCAGCCTTAGAATAGAACAATATAAAGAGAAACTCCGGACCTTTCAAGTTAATAGGAGGTCGGGGATTCGTCCGAACCCCCGTACTCCCCAGCCTACGGGCCTAAAGTCGTATGCAAATCAGGACAAATATCTTGCTCATTGAGATATCAGTCACGGCAATGATTTTCCATTGTATTTACCTTATAATTATTAACGAACTTGATAAATAAAAACACGAGCTGATTTATTYTTTTATATGTTGATTTAAGTATCATCTGTGCGGTCGTGTGCAGATGTGTTCCTTGTCCCTCGTCTAMGCACGAATAGATGATCAAAAGCAAGGAGACTGCATGGAATCTACCAGATTACATACAGATTATRTAYAGTTCAAATTCTCGTTCCAACCAGCCCCAGAGGAGAATCTAGCCAWGCAAAATTTGCCCATGAACAGTTCGTTGACACAGTGATGCCATAARTATTGTTCTACAAAAATACCAACTAACCCTGAAACAAGTCGACCCAATGAGATGCCAATTTCAGTGAAAGCCATTGCCRTGCCTCTGTCWCKTAAATCAYCAAAGWSCTCAGCAGAAGAAGACAGTGCTCTTACAGAGATGAAACAAAGCAAGAAACCATGGCTTGCACTTAATAGTAGTATGGTATAAACACTTTGCACGAAATGATACCACGAGGCACAGAGAAAAAACATCAGATGACCTACATGGACCAGAACAAGGACCCAGATCTTCTGACTACAGAATATCTTGCTGAACCATCCAGAAGGACAAAGCCATGATTCCAACATCAATGTCATCCCCCCAAGAACTTGTCCAATGTTGCCAGCCAATCTGTAGTATTGGTAATGGTCGCGGACACGAAATGGTGCYGAAGGGAAAGTGAGAGTTGTAAGCACCGAGTTTGCAGCAACGTAATAAGCCACATATGCAAGAAATACATAGCTTGCAAAGGGCAACATTTCCAAGAAGAATTGAAGGTASTTTATAAGTTTGACTTGCTTCTCGTGTTTTTGATCAGATGTCAACTGTGTGTATTTGTGGTGTAATCGATGCTCGGTAATTTGGTACTTCTTCAGAAAACCGTGATTTAGAATTCCATAGAAGATTAAAGTGGAAAATCCCAGTGGAAAGGAAAACGCAATAGTTACTCGAGGTGAAACGCACTGCCAGGCAGTTGAACCTACAAAATAAAAAAAATCAAATTATAATTGAATTCACTCGATGTCTCTAATACTAATGCTGAAAACAGATTACATTACATGTTCATATATCAAACAGGGTTTGAATGGGGGGGGGGGGGGAGTCTCTCGATGTCGGTTGTCAGTTAAAATTCCAAGCATTTGTTGGTAGTCTGTTAAAGTTCTAGGCATTTGTCGGTATAGTCGGTTATTTAAAAAACGTTGATGAACAAGTTAAGTTTGAATGCATTTACCAACGGTGCTTTATATCAACAAAATGCTTTCTAAAATGCCAACAATTGAATCCTTGAGTCCTGATTGGTCAATTGGATGCCACTSAAAGTTTTAGAGTGGCCAATCAAAACTTCAAGGAGCCACTGATCCGATGCAAAATTTATTTTTCCGCGGAAAACCTCGAATGTAGTTGCTTGAATAATACAAAAAACTTGTATTCAAGAAGCTATAATGTCTTTGAATATTGCCTAAAAATATTCATTTTAGGAAAATGTCTCCAGTCAGTAAATATGTCTTGTCGTTAGCCAGCAAATTTTGTTCAAATTTGTCGCTAGTCAGTTGTTAATTTTGTCCATTTGTTGCCAGTTGGTTAACCCCATTCAGACCCTGATCAAAGATTAATGGCGAGGGGCCCTGTGCATTTTAGTTATGGCAGCAAATCTATGCCTTATGTGGTACAAAATGAAATGGTCKATTGTTCAGAAGCGTTTTTGCTATAATATCGAAAATCGCCAAAACCTAGTCCACACCTATTTTCAAATAAGATAAGATTACCACATATGGCTGCTAAACGAAGGACAACTTTTCTGAGGCAATCCTATGTTTTAAGAGCCGCTTCGCACAAAAACCATTTTGTTTGCAATAAAATTCGGAGTGATTACTAAGCAAGGGTTGAGCTTTTCAAATACATAAAAATTAGTCTGGGCAAATCACTCTCAGTTGCATAGAAATGAAWACTTCTGGTGATAATAATCGGTTGAAACACCAAATGTTTTAAACAACCGAAATTCATTTACATTGCCTAAAATGTTCAAAGAAATTACCTTAACCCTTTGTATTTGAATAACATACATTAAATGTTGATTAGATGTTTATAAACTTTGAAAATTATTCGGCTAATACAACTAGAATAAGTCATTCCTACGCCCACGGGAGTGATTTGCCCAGACTAATTTATATTTCTTTGTAAAGCTCATGCTTTGCTTAGTAATCACTCCGAATTTCATTGCAAACAAARCACTTGCAGGGTCGGATCCAGGATTTTTCAGAGGTGGGTGKMTAACATTAAAATTTAATATTAAAATACGTTACAATTAATTTGACTCTTTATCGTTATCTCGGGCACAMCTATAATATTTCGGAATTTTCAAATATCTRTGAATTATAAACTTAMAGTTGATATAACTTATCAGTTACATCAAACAGTTCTTCTCACTCTTATTTTTTTCGAAGTAATTATTCATATTTTCCGTTATATAATAATCCTGTTATAAAATTTCTTTTTTTCAAAATTTTGAATATTTATATTTTTTTTAAATAAAAGAGGGGKTTGTCTAGCCACCCAATCCGCCCCTTCCCTAGATCCGCCCCTGACTTGCACATAAAAAATTAATCTTTTTTTTAAGGTACTAAATTGCATATATAACTACATATGTAAACACTTCGAGTTCCAAAAAATCTTCTGATAATTAAATGCTCTGAAAATCAACGAAATAAATAAAAAAGAGTTACTTAGAAAGCAAGAATTTAAATTTTTAAAATTACTATTTTACATTTCACACAAGCTCGTTAGAAAGTTTGCTATTTGGCGTGCTATTTAAATTTAGCCATAAAACCTTTTGTGGAATTGGTTAGAGATTTTGTAGCGAAAAACGAAATATTTTCAAAAACCAATTACACAGCGATTGTTAGCTAATCATACCTTATCTATAGACAAAATATGAATAGGTTTGATTTTTCGAGCCTTGCCATGGTATGTCTGATTTTTGCGAGAGGAGGCTCTTAAGAGGGGATGTCAGCAAACACCAAACAAAACGTGGCAACGCTTCGAAATTCGATTTCGCCCAAACGTTTATATCTTGTAGCCTGTTCTATCCCAATAATACCTATGTGGTTTTTAATCGAAAATATGTTTTATTTTTCGAGATATGATTTTTTTAGTCGGACGACTCAAATATGCAAATTTTTGTTGTTTACATTACTCAAGTTGAGTGACCTCGTACAACGAATATACTTGACCTCTGGCAATCCTACTAACACAACTTATTGCTTTGCATCTGAACGTARTTCCACTTGACTATTGAAGCTAAAAACAAAGTTTTTAATTTTTGACGAGTTTTCTTGCAACCCACACTTTTCATATGAAGAAAAGTAGTATCAAGACAAARGCGAATTTAACTATGACCGATATGAAAAAAATTAACGGGATTTCGGCTATAGTAAGTTCTAAAGATAGTTATCAAACCTATGTAAAAAAATCCTTGTGTATTTTTGTTGATCGTTTGTGACACGATCTCAAAGTGACGGAATATTTGCATATTTTGACACGTAAAATCTACAAGGTTAGCTTACGAGACCCCCGACGACTCCCGTGTTTACGCAAATAAATAAAATTCAAAAGTTCTTGATACTTCGTGAAAAGCTAAACCATCTCATATTTCAGTCATTAAGAGCTATAGAAATCTTTGAACTCTTTGGGAAATTAATATCGCAACCGTTTAAKCTTAAAACTATTAAAACGCGTTGAGAATATTAATTACGCCTCAATTAATGCGTCCAAATTTCCACACAGCATTCGTAGCTTGAAAATATAAAATAAAATAAAAACGTTCCTCAAATACACTTTTGTGGATRTCGCTTTTAACAATATTTTAGAAAACTACCACTCTGACGTCATTTTTCTTTTAAACTAAAGCTGAACTCTTTGCACACACGTGTATAAAGACTAAGAGAGTGGGATTTCCTTTCGCAATGTTTAATTAAATTGAATACCAGTTTATTTTTAAACTGATACGTTTGATTAAAAATACTTTTTGAAGATTTATAGGTTTGATGCTAATAATATATTCGAATAAARTTTGATGTCATTTAAAGAATGTTTTGGAGGCGTCATTTTGATTGACACTTCGGTCTAGAATTCTTTGCCTCGATCGGTTTTTTTTATACAAACAAACATGGAGATCTCCTGCTCGCTGAAAACATTAGCAGGAGGAACRCATTGTGGCCTAATATCTCGCCAAGCCAGGACGTGTGCATCACAAGTTGTTCCTTTGTTTGGGTGTTCAAAAGATATTCAAAATCATTTAAAGAATTGCAAGTTTTCCGGTCCCTCGAACGAAMTAGAGCTCATTTTGTCTCGCGTTGGCATATTCAAGATACCAGCAAATGCATCTGAATTTACAATTTGTCCTGCCCA